AAACGCGATAAGCTTTTCACTTCCACAGGCAAAAACTATTTGTTAGACATGCTCGAATTGTTTGCGAAAAAATAAATAAAAACAAATAACAATTGAACGGAAATGTCCAGTCAACGTTATTGGATATCTATTTTTATCGGAAGAACAGCGAAACAAAAATGAAAACAAGTAAGAGGTTCTAGTCGGGAGCTCCCGACTAGGGGATACCCTGAACCCTCTTCTTCCAACATTAAGTGCATATATATATATTCTTTTTTAGAAGCTATATGTCAAGTTTGGTGACTCTAGCTCTTATCGATATCGATTTTTATCGATTGCTTGGGAACTGAGTAAGTTATGGATTATCGGAAATAAACTCGATCTGCGCGGGAACTAGGAGCACCTACACAAATTTCAAGTCTCTAGCTCTTAAAGGTTCTGAGATCCTTGCGTTCATACAGAACGGACAGACAGACGGACATGGCTAGATCGACTCGGCTATTGATGCTGATCAAGAATATATATACTTTATGGGGTCGGAGATGCTTCCTTCTGCCTGTTACATACATTTGGATTTTGCACAAATACAATATACCCTTATACCCATTTTTAATGGGTTCAGGGTAAAACAAGAGAAACTGAAGTTGAGCAAAAAATTAAATTCTAGGAATTCAACAAAAAGGGCTTTTTTGGCTTTAGAATTGACAAATACCAAAGAATAAATGATTTGAGTCAGGGAAACAACAACAGATATCAAGATATATACATATGTATGTATATAGATACACTCTGTATGTGGTTCATATTTTATATTTTTATATAAAAGAAAAGCAAACAAGTTTGCTTAATGGCCGCATCCGAAGAGGCCGCAAAGGCCGGAGAAGCACAACGTAACAACAAAGAAAGTTGAAGGCCGACAAAGCATTGACCGTCTATAGAATATAGAAATTTGTATACACATATGAAAGTACCAGCTATATAGAAATTTGTTAAGCAATTCAAGTGATGAGCACTTTTAAACTATGCACTTAAACTGCTCTCAATCGACACGGGGAGCTAAACAGCAATCGACGCGAATCAAGAAATCGAGAAATCGAGAGATCGAGAAATGATGCAATAACTGCGAGAAACACAATCAGCATTTCGAGCGCATCAGAACGGGATTCAAGATTCCATAGAATTGTCAGAGCATATAAGTAAATGGAAGTGCTACGAGTTGGGCGGAATGTGAGGGTTGTTCTCCTGCGTGACACGAGCAGACAAAGTATCGTAAGGACGTGCTCGTGCTTAAGTATCGAAATTTGCACGAGCAAAGAATTTATTATTTTCTTTATGTAATTTTCCTATCAATATAGTTAAATAGTAAGATATATACAATATATATTTTCAATAAATTGTTACTATTCCAAATATTTGCAATTTTCTTGATATTTTTGTACAAATAATAATATGCCCTCCGAGTGCTGCTAATTTTAGAATTCATATAATGCATCAATGATTGACAGTTTAAAGGAATGTCGTTTGGCACTTATTATAAACTTTATTTTAATGAAAACAAACCGATTGAGCAAAATATATATACATATACACTAGCGGGTATTGCCCGACCTTGCACGTGGAACGTTTTGTACTACAAATTTTAGATATTACCTTTCCATTAAGTAAACGCCCGTGCTAATTGAAATCTCCCCCTACGATCCTGTTCTCCACTTCTGTTCACAAATATGTTTAAAGTGCACTGAAAAAGGAACCAAGTGTTGACTTCAGAGGCTTCCGCCCGAGAACGTAGTTAGTCTTGTGGTAAGAATCTTGAGGTCGAATAAAAAATGTGCGTTTACTAAACCTTTGACCCGCATTTTCCATCCAAAAACGGGAAACTTTGCGAAGGCTCGTCAAATAGGTTCTGATAAAGAACGTTGAATATGAGTTTGGAACCGTTAGTAAGCCAAAAAGTTAAGCTACGTTTTTTCGCCAAACTTCCACAGTTCCGAATGGAATTTTCTATATCGTTGAAACACATATTCATTAAGTTTTTTTATGTATGTAGAAAATAAGTTTGATACAAATCGAACAAAACTTAAAATTTCGCCCAAAAAATCGTTGAATCGCATTTATACCGAGGAAGCTTGGATTCTGCGAAAAGCGTGAAACACGTCTCTAATGATTCTTCTTATAGATCTTTGGACAAAAATTTGAACACGAAATGTCACCCACCAAATCTTTGACCCCCATTTCCAGCAAGGAGGAATGTATTTTCCGAAAAGTGTAAACACCCCTCAAATTCATTTGAGCAAAGATCTTTGAAATTGGGTTTAAGGCCAATCGGATGGTAAACAAAAAAATTGCGGTTGGAATTTTTCGAAACCCCGTCCAGTGCAAATTTCAGCTTCTTAGCTCTTAGTCAGTCAGGACAAACAGTTTTATATGTAGAGATAGTTTATAGTATTATAACTCGTCAGCAAAGGCAATTATATGGGATTCCATCAAAGCAACAAATAAGAAAAATGAGCTATTTTAAAAGTTTATATAAAAATTGTATATTTAAGGCTATTGGAAAATGCTACATTTAAGAAAATAGACAAAAATCAATTTGTCTAGTTTCTGCTAAAAGGCTATATTTATTTAATTTGACGAATTCGATGCGGGACTTGAAGTAATTAAAATAAAAAATGCTGCTAAATAAAAACTGCATATAGAAAATACCGATGCCAGCTTCTAGAGGTTCCAGTTTTCGAGCACTCCGTGTTGAAGCGACAACAAGACTTTTATTATTTTATCAAAATCGTTTAACTGTATGGAAAATATGCATAATAAATATAGGTACTGTCGCACCTAAGAATGCGCCAGTTAGCGCGTTATTTGAATACTTTTCAAAGCTAAGACTTAATTCCCCTCTTTTATTAAATAAACTGAAACCAAAGCTGTGCGGAAGTTGCATGTTGAATTTCTTAATAGGATCGTTGTTTCAGGGATCAGAAGTCGTAAATTTCCCAGGTCAAAGTCAACAGTTTTTGAGCAGCCGATTAACCTGCCAACTCGCTTTAGCTCGTGCTAATTTTTATTTGTGCTCCTTTTGGCCACTTTATCAGCGGCCCTTATCGTGCACTCAACTGTTGAGTCATTGCCTAAGGTATAGCTTGTGATATATATATATATATATACATGTATATACATATATAGTATAGAGTAGGAGAACAATAGCATAAGGTGATATGACAGTATTCAACTGGCGCTGTTAAGTCAATTAAGTCAAGCAGTTTCTCAGACAGCTGGAGACCCAGTCGTATACGTAATAAAGCGGCGCCTAAAAGCAAATGAGGCGTGTGGTGAATGAGAGGAGGGGCGGACTTGGGCATGAGTTTTTTTAATCTGAGCTGCGGCTAAAAAACTGGCTATACATATGCAAAGGCAAAGACTGAGGCAGAGAGAGACAGAGAGACAGGGAGAGAGAGAGAGAGAGGGAGGCTCCAGTATTGGTATTTGCCCAACATATGGCCGGTTTCTAGGCATTCAACTCGATTGGGTTTTGTGTTTGTCTGCTTTTACCTACCTCCCTCCCTCCTTCCCTACGATCCGCGGCGAGTCAACACTTTTTCAGCCTTGAATTTTTGCGCACTGACACTGAACTCTCTGAACGCGTTGAAATTCGAAATTCAAATTGAAATCAATTTCAAATTTTATTTGATTTTTTTTTTTGTTTCCTAATACTCATTGGAATGGTATAAGAAAAAAGGGTATTATCAAGTTGTGCAAGTCGAAGTAAATATATCGTTGATCAGTAAAATTAACCAACTCGATACAGTCTTATCAAACTGACCGCACTGGAAATTGAAGATTAAAGAACTATGTTTAGGTTTAATAGCTATTTTAGTTTATAATTTGATCTGTCAAGATTGAGCCTGCGTATTACATAACTTGCAGGGTATCAGGCAGTCGAACACTCTCCACTAGAGCACACGCTTAGCATTTGCATTTGCAACAAATTTTGATTTGTATTTGTCTTATTATATGATTATATGCATAGTAAAAATCCCTCTCCGAAGTCTATATGCATATATATAACTCATTCCATTCGAATAATCGAAAGATTTGAGCACATTTTCACGATTTAGACAGCTTCCACGTGAGGGGCGAGTTCAGATTACAGCTGTTGGGGAAAACTTGCTGTATTGTGCTGTATTTTGTTGTGCTTCAAACAGGAAACGCTTAAGTTTTGAGCTCAGTTTTATGGACTAAACATAAACAATCGCGAGCTTGTTTATGGTTCTATGTGATCCGCTTTGCTGCAAGGTCTCGCATTACACGATTTCAATTTCAAATTTCAGCTCCGAGAGCGGAATATTGTCTATGTGAATTCTGTAAATTTTCTGGGATGAGTTGACATTTTAATTGGTTCAGGCACATAAATAACTCTTTCGGACAGCTCCAAGAATTTGAAAATGAAAACGAAGTTGGAAGCAATTACAATATGATCTGTATATTTGTAGAGTGTGTTGAAATACTCGGTTTGATTCCCATTTTTTTCGTTTCTAAAAGGGAACTACAAATTCGTTTTGTTTTTCGTTTTCTTTCCAGTTATTGGTAAATCTCAATATGATCTTTAGATTTATAGATTTATAGACTTGAAAGCTTTGTCTGATTCAAATACCAATTTCCAGTTTGAGGCTCAGCTGGAAAAGGAAAAAGTCGTCAAAAAGTGTTATATACCTTTGAATTAGTTTTTAGCTGCTCTCATTTGACTTTCTCTTTGGTTTTAACGTTCACATTATGCTTGAAGTAGAATAATTAAATATAGGCTCCCCATCCGGAGCCTATAATTAATTTGCTTGGCGTTTTGGCTGTGTTCTTCATTAACATTTATTTCTCTTGCAGATTTATACGCTTTTAAGACTTTTGTGGATTATTGGGTCGTCGTCTTTCATTTAAAATGAACATTTTGACGTCCATGTGCATATATGTAAATATATTTTTTATATATGTTCTCCTTATGTGTAGATATGTAAGCTCGCTGGAATACCAACCTTATAATTTAGCAGCGTGTGGTATTAAAATGATATACTATAGAAGTATAAACAATTCCAGTTGAGGCGACTTCGTGGTGTTGTAAATCGTCTATAAAGCGGTCGTTTTGACTTCCGTGTCGGGTGTTTTTTATATACAAAAATGGTTAAGTAATTTGCTAGAAATGTTTATATAAACATTTGTATTACTGTATATTTTCTTTCATTAATTAATTCATATGCATGGGCACGCATGTGTGAGAAGCGGGTGGGAGGAGGAGCTTGCTCTTTTTATATGTAAATCGTATACTTCATTGTTGTTGTTGTTTTTGTTGCCGTTGAACACGCTTTTTGTTGATTGGATTTATTTATTATTTTTTTTTTTTTTCTGTGTTTAAACTGGGTCACACATGTGGCGATTAAAACAGAAATATTATATATCTGTGTGTATGTATAACATTTATAACACAAAAACTATGCACACTTTGTATAAATTTTGATAAGTAAAATTAAAATATTATATACACTCGCGGCGAAATCTTATCAGCCTGTCGCCAGAAAGAAACATAAGGTCCGAAGAGCTGTTATATGTACTTAGTTTTATATATACATATATAATTGTTGCTGTTGTTGTTGTTGTTAACGTACGGCTTGAAGTGTGATAGTTGAAAGAGTGAAGCTCGACACTGACACTGACACTTGATGGCACACGTTAGGTTCGAACATTTAACGTACATTTGCTTTATAATTATGGCAAAAATTTACAACAACTTTAAGCTTTTGTGGACGCTTTTGTAACCGTTTTGTATTTGTTGCTGTCAATTTTGCGGTGATTTCGACCGAGCAGCTGAGCGCGTTGCGAACAACTGATCAAAGCACGCGCTGAGAACTTGAGAAAAAAGCAAAGCTCGCTCTGCACGCGCGCGCGCGCTCCTCTTTGTGTGCGTGTGGATGTGTGTGTGTGTTGGAGAGTGTGCGAGTGAATAGACAGACGTCGACGCCAACGTAAGAATTTTTGTAGTTAAATTCCAGCACTCTTTAAATTTGGCAGCGTTGTTTTTTTTTTTAATATTATTTTTATTTAATGTTTGTTGCTTTATTTATTTATGCAAATGTGCTTAGCCTTTTTTTGTTGCTTTGCGCGATTTTATGTGATTGAATATTGAAACTAGTTCGCATTGTCTGAACGAGTGTGTTTAAATAAAAGCCTGGCACCTGAGTTGATTTACTTAAACTCGTATGACCAGAGCGCTTTTTGTTGCTGTTTTTCTGACTTGTTTTAATCGTACACTAATTGAATTATGAGCACAACAACTACTACTTTTTAATTGAATTTATAATTTGTTTAACACACATATATTTTTCTGTATTTACTTTGATTTGCACGCTTTGCATTGACGCTCGTTCTTCATTCTATCAGCGTTTCTGGCATGTACAAAACGACAATAAAAATAATTTTTGTGTTTTATTTTGATTATCACACTCTGTACTATGCGAGTGTGTGTGTTGAGTGCTTTTACACACACAAATACACCCATGAATTGTGTTTTGCTGCGTTCCGTGTCCGCGCTTGTCAAACGTTCTTGACCGATTGATAAAGTTTTGAAAGCTCGGCGACAAAAACACGCCAAGTACAGCAAGCGAAAGCTCTCGCGCTCGATGATTTGTTTTGATTGTTCAGCTGTTTGGTCGCAGCAGTCAGAGAGAGAGAGAGAGCGAGAAGGAGAGAGGGAAGTCGTGTGTGCGCATGTCGCTCACCCACACATTCACAGTCAGTAGCGGCAGTAGACCGACGTTTTTGTCTCTTCGTCTGTTGCTTCTTTCACTTCCACTTTTCCATTTGGGTTCTTGAATGCCTGCGCTGGGGGCATGCGGCAGTGGAGAGCAGCAAAGTAGCGACCGCGCAGCTGCTCGGGTACAGTCTGTTGCGTTTGTTGTTGTTTTGGTTTTTTATTTTTGTGCGCCTTTTTCATTTGTTTTTGTTCGCATTGCTTGGCAGTTTGTTTTTCCCCATTTGATTAATAAATAAAATTATTTACAAAGCTTCCGCTCGCGCTTTTACTCACTCTTTCTCTCTCTATCTCTACACTGCCACAACCCATCCGTGCTTTTTTGCTTTTGTTTTTTGACGTCACTTATGTTGTTTACTTCGGGCAGGCGGCTTGTTTTCATTTTCTTGCGAATTCGCATTGTTGTTTCTGTTGTTCTTGCTTTATTTTTGTGTAATGCAAATTTCTGTTATGAAATTGTCTGGCGCTTTGATTTGTATTTTGAATTTCGCAAAAAGATACTAGTTGAGCACTTTAATAATACTATAATATTAGAACACAAGATGCAAGCGAGAAGTCTGCGCACTTTAAAAACCGTTGCATACGCCAGCGTTTCGATGCTGACGCTGCTTTTTTTTCAACTCTATTGGTTTGTTTATAGCACCCAGTAATGACATAAAAAATAATAATAATAATGAGTGGAATTCGCACAACTACATATATCGTTTTCTCTTTGCTATATACACATGCACTTTTGTATGTATGTATGTGTGCATAAGAATCGGATATCAGCTCAGCTTTGGCTTACTTTTTTCTTGCTGCCTTTTTACACAATTCGTTCCGATTGGAGGTTTTAAGCATAAGGCTGATGCAATATGTCATAAACAAAGTGTAATCACAATTTCGAAATGAGAAGCCTGCACAATAATATTTTTGAGGTTAATGCTAAAAGGGTGCACGGTGTGGCAACTCTGTACGGCAATTAACAGGGGTAACTCTTCAATTATTTGGTATGCCAGTGTTAGGAAGCGTTTATTTGTTATGTGTGAAGCTTAAATACGAAAAGTAGCAAATGCAAATGTGTGACATCAGTTTATAAATTGGAGTTTAATACAAACCTATTTGTTATATTTGAAATCAAATATTAATTGTGATTTTAGTTTTTATATATATGTATCAATTGCTTTTTAGGAACTGATAATGGATAAAAGTTTATTTACATTAAAAATCAGACAACAAAACAGATTCGGCTCTACCTAATTTTTAAATTGCAATTCACTGGAAACATAAATCCAATGAGCAATTGAAATCATCTTGTATGCCTGCTGTATGAGCCAACTTCAAAGCGGAAAATTAAGTCGTATTGGTAATTCAATGACAATCGAACTGACGCACGGAAAATTTTGCCTAGGGGAGCTGCTGCTGCTGCTGCTGCAGACAAATCACAGCCATGTCCTTGAATGGCAAATTGCGACACAGCAAAATAATAACAGCTCGTGAAGGTAAACATGCTCGGGAACCGACGCGACGCGCAAGGATGGCACGAAAACAACAATCAGTAAAGCGCTCTTCAGGAACCATCCTTCCAGGATATATACATATGTGCATAAGTGTGTACATGCCAAGGATGCCAGACTGCACACACGCACACGCACGCCGACTTCAAGGATCCACGCGGTAAACGATTGTCAAGGACGTGGGCGCCGGCGTCTATAGAGTATTTACTAAACAGCACCTAAAGCAGACGCCTACGCCGCGACTTTCGAGGCGTGGGCGTAACGGCTGACAAGCGCCGGTTTATTTATTTTTCTTCCTTTTCTTATTCCCTCTCACCCATCCACTTGGCACTTTCACTTTTCCTTCGTGAAGCATGGTCGTCGTTGTCGGGTTCATGGCAGTCCGAAACATCGGGACCTTGAACACTTGTGGGCGTCGCCAGTGTTGCCACTCCGCCACCCATAAACTGTGGGCGTTCGCTTTTCGCAAGCTACTTGTGTATTCCTTATGCTGCCGCGCGCGTTCATTTTAATTAAATGCAAAGCATTTGACGAGCCACAGCATAAATATGTTTTAATTAGCAAACAGCCATCACGTTTTAAGGGTCTGGCAACGCCATTCGCAGAGCAGCAACAGCCAAGAAGTGTACATACGATGAGTATGCACAATCTTTTGGTACTACATATTATTAACCAATATTCTAGGGATTCAGCAAGGATATTTTCAACTGTCGGCACCCAGTGTATTACTTTGCCTAACTTGTTTTTGTTATGAATGTGAAGAAGCACAACAAAAATGCGACAGCAGACTGGCAAAGACGTCAAGGACATGGGGCTGAGTGAAGGCTGCGTTTGTCACTGGGGTTTGTGTGCAGAGCGTGGGCTTTTATTATGCGAGCGCATGCCAGAAAGAGAGTGAAAGCGGGAGAGAGCAAGAGAGTGTGGCTGTCCAGCGTTTGCCTAAGGATTTCAAGCGAAATTCTGCGTCGTAATTTTTCAATATGGCAGCTAAAAATCCCCACAGCAACCCCCACGCACGCTAGCCCCATTCCAAGAGAGGGGCGGAGGTGGCAGCCGGCAAATGCGTACAACGAAAATAAGGCATATATACATATATATAATATTATATACATATATTATGTAGCCTGGATGGACGTACGCAGACATTGTTGGCGTTGTTGTGACGCGTATCGATTTGTTTATGTTTATTAAATGAAAATTCACAATGGATCAGTTGGAGCTGAGGGATGGGGCTGCTAATTGGTAGCGGTAAGATGGTGGGAAGTTTTCAAACTCTATTCGCATGGCTGGGCCATAAAAAGGAGAAATCAAATTTGATAAAATTTCACAGATTTTTAGTGGGCAGAAAATTTGTGCGTGTGTGTGTGTGTGAGAGAGAAAGAGAGATAAGCCTCTCATTACAAGTCCTTATGCTCGCTTTGAAAGTTTGAGAAGCGCAAAGAAAGGAGTGTTGGGTTGCGGAGTTGCAAATACCAAGAATAATAGATAAAAAGCGCATTTATTGAAAATATATAATTAGATTATGTCAAATTAAAAGATTAGATATATGACAACATGTCTTAATTAATTGCTCAGCTTTATTTGATTTCCATGAGATGCAAAGTATGATAAGACATTAATATTTAGAGTATCAAAGATATTTCATGTCAAACTTAAGGATTGTTAAAAGATAATTAATAAAACTAAATCATATTCTGATTTTTTATCATTTTAACTAGTTTAAGCCACACATTAGACTGCTTTATTTAATGATCAGATATATTAAACTTTTTAAAAACTATCAATCTGTTATATTGACGAACTCACATGCACTTTGCATGTGATTGAAGCCGTTCAGCAATTTACTCAAATAAATAATATTACGATAATTTTTTTTTTATTTTTCCTATTTTGTTTTTGTGCTGATTCGTGCGCTTAGCGTTCATTGGCCCCTTTTAGCAGCGCACAAATTATATATCTCTGATAAAAAAAAACCAACACAATAACATTTTCAGCAACTAAGCGTTTTTCTATATATTATAGACGTATAGGCCAAAACGTAGACGTAGTGTAAAGCCATTGACTTTTCCACAAT